GCCTCCTGCCGGTAGCTCAGCGGCGAGCAGCAATGTTTCAGGCACTTGGTGAGGAAGATCAGGACCGCGACGATGCCGATGAGCAGCCAGCCAAAGAGCTGAGGGAGAAGAGAGAGGCTGCATTAGGACACAGCACAGTGCTCTTACCCACTCCGTGTGGCTTACTCCCCGGTGTGCCTACCTGGGACTCGTATCTCAGTCTCCGCGTCACATCGTCCCTGAACCTGGTGAGGTTCGCCGGCACGTCTTTACAGGGGAACCTGGCCAGCACCTCGGCCCCATGTTCGGCCGGGAACTTGTCCAGGGAGGACGGCCTGACAAACTCGCTGAGGGCGCAGATGTAAGCCTCTCCACGCAGCAGTGAGATGACCGACCAGGTGACGGGCGCCACGGCTGCCCGGCCCATGATGGAGCCGAAGAGGAGGAAGGTGGCGGCAGCAGAGAAGTTCTTGGTGCCGCGCTTGTGGCACTCGGCCACCAGGTTCCACGTGTGGTTGTTCCAGATGACGCCGATGAGGAAGAGGGCCAGGGCTGGGACGCCGATGGCAGCCAGACCATAGATGTAGTTGCGGGCAGGGGAGCAGGGGCAGTTGAAGGCGACAACCGAGAAGAGCTCCTCGCTGCCCACTGTGCCCAGGGCTACCAAACCGTTGAAGATCATCACGTCTTTGCTCTTGAAGAACAAGGAGAGGAAGCGGAAGTTCTCGGCGATGAGGGCAGCCATCTCGTCCCCGGGGTGAGAGGAGGTGCGTACTGCGGCGGGGGGCCGTGCTGGCCCACTTCCCAGCACCGAGGGACACGGTGATGTGGGTTGAAACGGCCTTGGGCCGGCTGGAGCGCAAGGGGCTGCTCTGGCAGCACAACACCTTTGCTGCTGTTCCTTCCTCCTGCTTGGTGACCCCGCCACCAGAGCTGGTTGCTGATTCCAGGGATACTTCAGAAGGAGCCGAAAAGGGATTCAGCCTAAGCAATGTGTGAAACCTCAGTCATTTCATTTTCCTACTAAACTCTCCATCTCTGCAGCAAAAATCACTGACTGGATTGCTGCCATTTGCACATTCATTGTGTCTCCTTCTCTTCAGTTTCAATCACCTCCCGCAGAGGTGATTACTGTCAGTGTTGCTGCCAGACGCTCTGTGGTCTCCCAAACCTGCAACGAAGGAGGACGCCACATTATTGGGGAAACTGGACTGGGGTGCTGGCCTTGGGATGTGTCCCCAGCCCTGCCGCTGACTCACGCTAGCCCAGGTGTACGCGGCACATACGTGCTGGTGCTGAGCTCCCTTGCAAGTGCTGTGGGTTTTGCCTCCCTCCTTAGACCTGATGAGTTAATATTTAGTAATAGGCAAAGGTATGCCAGGAAGGCAGCGAGAAGGCACAGCGGGTCTGGGGGCAGGGAGATGGAGGGGACAGGCAGGAGCAGCTTCTGCTGACAGGGGCAAGGGGATGCTCGGGGGCTGTTTCTACTCGCAAGAGAAGCAGCTTTCTGGGAAATTGAAGATTATTCTTGTGACCCAGGACACAAATACCAAATACTGATAGAGCTGGGTCAGCAATTACGTGGGAGTTTTTGCCAGGGTTAGGTGTGGCAGGATGATCTCTCCCACAGTTGTTTGACATAACCGTACTCGCCATCCGGGCCTGCAGTCCTGGCTCAGCCTCTAACTGCCGGCCTGAAGTGGAGCCCCTTGACCAGCACACCTGGGTGCCACAGATGCACCTCACTCCCCTTCGCATGTGTGGTTTCCTACAGCCCCTCCTCCGAGTACAACACTGGTTATACTGGGAACTGGCCCCATAGGCAGGGCTGGCCCTGGGCTGCATGGACAGGAGACAGTCAGGACGAAGCGGGGAAAAGCACGTGCCCTGATTTTTTTGAAGGGTAGGGAAATAAATCAGGAGTGTATCCATGTTCTCAGCAGTGATGCCTGTCCCCCCATGCCATTTGCAAGCTGCATTTAATTATTTCTTAGCTGACTTTCCATCTGCACTGATCCCCCACAGCAGCTCATCTCAGGGAGCCCCAGGCACCTCGGAAGCTCTGGGAGCCCTCATCCGTGTGACGATACCCACTTGCCTCAGTGGAACCGCTGTCACCGGGTTCACTGGAGACAGGAAGGATTCGGGCACCCAACTAACCGTCCCTGGCAGTTTGCACAGTGTTGGCAGCACCAGTGCACATCCGGGGCTCCTAGGGAGTCCTGACCCACAGCAGGGCTGCCCTGAAACCTGCCCCGGTGCTGGCATCTCTCCCTGCAAGGCTCCCCCAGCCCAGCCCCATCTGTGGGGAAAAGGCTATGGGGACATTCGTGCGGAGGAGACAGAGCTACCTGAATCGTGACGGTCTCTTACACAAGGGTTGCTCATGCACTGTGTTTTAAATCACTCCTGTGCTTCAGTTGCTCCACCAAACCCTGTTTTACCCTCTTCCTCCACGGGGCAGCGGAGGGGCATGGGGGCAGGAATTTGACCTCTGTTCTCTGCTGCGTCTGACCCATGGCAATCCCTTTAAAATCCCGCTGTGATATTGCCGAGTTCAAGCACAAACGGCTCTTAATGTCTTCCTGCATCTTCCCAGTTTTTCCATATGCAAAACTCCCTTGGCAAAGGAGATAGACCAGCCAAAAACTGCAGCCACGTGATGGGGAGCCAGGCCCCCGGCTCCGGCTGCTGTGCTATGGGGTACATCACGTTTGCAGCCAGATGCTAAACCTGACAACTTGTTCTAGTTCACGGGGTTCAAAACTCTTGTTAGTGGAGTGAGCAGCACACAGCCCCGATAAGCGAGGCCCTGCGACCCTCCTGACGGGGCCTGGCAACCGGCAAAGGAAAAATAAGGGGAGTAGGACTGCGGGGGGGTTACCCTTCCTCTGCTTGGTGGTTATGGTGCCTGTCTGGGAGAGAGAGGGGTGGGTAGGAGGGGAGGGGAAAAGTTGTTTGCAGCTGGTAAGTTTTTAGCAGCTGCTGTTTTAAGTCTTTTCCTAAAGCCTGCATGAAAGCAAGAAAAAATGAAGTCACTTACTTGGAAAGTTGTTGGAAGCAGTTCCGGACCCTCTCAGCCCCTCGTGTGGTTTTTGCTTGGGCTCCAGCTGCAGGGAGGGTCCCGGCAGCGCGTGGGGCTGTGCAGGCGTGGGGATGCGGCTGAGGCCGGCCTGATGGGCGAAGCGAAAGCTGATGGAAACGGCGTGCAGAGGTTGGCAGCTTCCTTTTTCAGTCTGCAATGTGCCCTCGGCTCTGGGGAGGAGGGAGGAGGGAGGAGGTTCTCTTGGGCCCTGTGCTTGGGTGGGGCAAAGAGCGCTTGGCTTCTGCGGGATGCGAGGCTGAGGTTGTGCCTTTAACAAAAAAAAAAAAAGGAAACGAAAGGCTGAGAATGAGTCACTGGAAAAAGCACATCGTCCTGTTTCAGACCCGCGATGCAGCTGTGCAAAGGCTGGCCGGGACGGCCGGGGTTTGTTTGCCTGGAGGACGGGAGCGATGGGGCGCCTTGCTGGGATGTACAAGGGAAACGCTGGAGCCCCCCAGCCTGCGGGATGGATGCAGCCCCCGTGGTCCCCAGGGGATGCAGGCATGCATGGGAGAAGCCCTTGGTCCCACGGGAAGGGGCAGGAACATGCTTTTGGGCATGGGAGCTGGCTGAGCCAGTGAGGAAGACTCCAGCCTGGCTGGGTTTTCGGGAGAAGCAGGAATCCCCCATCGGGAGCTCTGCAGGGCAGACACTTTTCACTTCCCGCCGCCTGGGACGGAGCAGCGAGGCCGCTGCAAGGGTCAGCGGGGGCTGAGCAGGGCCAGGGAAGCCGTCACAGCCCTCGATTTGGCGAGTGTGGTGCATTCCTGTCTGGGCTTTTCCTGCTTCCTCAGTGGAGCCATGCCTGCAAGGCAGCCGAGCTCCTTGCCTCGCTCCTTCCTCTCTGCCATCTGTCCTTCGGCTCCAGCTCCTGCCCAGCCTGTTACAGAGGCCGGAGGCCCCCATCCTCCTTTCCCATCCTCTTCCCTGTGTCCCCGGGCTGAAACTCAGCCATCCCCAGAGGTTGTCCTCAGCACAGGCAAATCTTCAGCAACACCCAGGTTTCCATCTGCACGGAGCAAAGCTAACCTCAGCCCAGCATCGGCAGTTCAGCTGGGAATTTTGGACCAACTTCTTACTCCCAGATCTGGGGTCCCCAGTTGGGCTTTTGCAGCTCCCAGTGTTTGGGTGCTGTGCACCCCATGGCATTCCGACACCTCGGTGCCTGCCCAGGGCTGGCTCCCCTCCCACGCGGCCCCTGCTGGCTCCGCTGCAGACCCTGGGGCTTACTCCATGCTCAGTGCGCTGCTGCTCACTGGGATCAGCATCCAGACCGCAGCCCGGGTGGTATCCCAGGGGCCGTGTCGGGTTCCCTAGTAAGGGGTCTCCTCCCAAAGGTGATGAAAGATGTCCCCAGAATCCAGGAAAGAGAGGACACCCTGCCTGCTCTGTGGGGAGTCTCTGTGACTGTTAAAATTCCTGCGTGGGAGCAGAGCTCTGATCCTAAAAATCTAAATTAGAAGTGCAAAAGCTTTTCATTGCAAATGCACGCTGGTTTTTGGGTACCTTAATGGCTCTGCGTGCTGCTGGCGGTTGTGGGGACTCTGGGCGCACATATCTTGGAGAGCCATTGACAGCGCTGAACTGCAAATAATAGGAGTGGAAGCCGCCTTTATCTTTTAATCTCCTTTGCTTTGTAAATCAGGTTTTGTGCCTATTAATTTCAGGGCAGGTGCCTTAATTAAAGTTTGGGGTGTGAAGATTAATGATAAATCTGTGTCACGCTCCTTTCTCCTGGGAGTCAGCCAGATTCAGCCTGCCCTTGACTACCGGCTTGCTAAAGCTTTCTCACAGCAGCTCGGAGAATTTCCTCGTCATTTTGGGCCTTTGTTCTCCTCTCCCCACAGCCTCTGTGGAGTTACACACTGATAATTAAGGTTTATGCAAACGACAGTCACCCCAGTTACCAGCCAGCCATAATAAGTTGGGTTGAACAAGAGCGCTGCAGCAGAAAATTCAAGGGGATGAGCATTTTGAAAGGGACGTGGCAGAGGTAAAACTCGTCTCTTAAAAGGGATTTTCCTTTTGCGTGTTGGTAATACAATTAGGGCCACCTGGGAATGCTTTTCCAGGCTATGATTTCCATAGTCACCTTGAGGGCTTGCATCCTGTCATCCTCAGTTTCTGCGGAAATGGGCAGCCTCCTGGTATTGCGTAGGGTCGGCAGTGCCTCCCCGGCTTTTTTTCCGATAGCCAGGGCTGGCTCGCTGCTGGCCACTGTGCACTGGCCCTCCCCAACTCGCATGGCCTCAGCACCTTACCCTTGGCCCAGGGCACCCCCAGTCCTTCTCGTTGCATTCAAATAAAGAAACACCAACAGCTTTTGTAAACAGCTTTTATAACTCCTTGTGCCTGAGCACAGAGCTTGAACAGTCAGCCTGAATTATTTATTTGGCTCCTTAAACAAACACCCAGACAGGTTTTTAACATCAGTCTTTGTGTCAGGGAGGATTGCAGGTAAAATTGCAAGAACAAACTGTCCTGCACCAAATTCGTGGCAGGGGTTTGGTGTGACCCCCACCCTCTGGGCTGCTCTCCTCCTCTAGAATGCTTCAAGGAGCATCTCTGTGAGCTCCTCATGGAATAGTGCCTGCGACACCAACCGTGGCATTCCCATGACGTGTAATGCAATATGGGATGCGGGTGCCCCCTCACTCACTTGTTGCTTGGGACGAATTTATGTTAAAGCTTTTCTTGGCCTGGAAGCTCTGTGTGTGTCTGTAGGGATGTAGTGTGTGGAGGGGCAGTGGGGAGACTTTTGGGGTTTCACAGCTTAGCATGCGCAAGGGGAACCCCCAGCTTGTTTCCCCACCAGGGTTTTTTAATACTGCCTAAACCCACACGCGCTGCCTGATGCTGAGCATGTGGTGAAAGAAAGGAAATTTTGCACATCTGGTAGTGCCTGCCTTGGCAACTGCCACAACACGAGCCTGGTGTTCGGTGGTGTGGGACACATGGCATGCCTGTCTGGCTGATGCACCTCACCCTTGAGTATCCCAGGGGCTTGTCCATTGAAACTCCTTGCATGAATTACCAGTGCTGTAGGATTGGATGTGAAAGCAGATGGGATTGCACCAGCACAGCCGAGCCCTTTGGGTGCCTGTCCCCTGTAGCTCCCATGGCACTGGCCCTCGCCCCTGCCCGGCTCAGATGCCTACCTGCCTGCCCCCTCTGCAGCCCCTCTCCCAAAAGCGTGGCTCTGCCTCTACGTAGCGCTGCCCCCCCTCACACCCGGCTGTAGTAGGCAGCCATCTCCCTTCGGGGTGCAGGGGGTTGCGTAGGGGGCTGTCCTTCCCCTGCCCAGCCATTGCCACTGGGGAGGATGGGCGGGTGGAGGTGCAGCGGGGGCTTGCATCTGTGCCAGCTCTTCAGGGCCGTGTTCATGGTGCCGCGGTCAGTGATGCCCAGGAGCTTCTTGGCGGCTTCCCCCACATCAGCTGGGGCTTTCCTGGGTGGGTGGCAGCGAGCAGCTGCCAGGTCGGTGCTCATGCCCTCGAAGAACTGCTGGATGCAGACCTTGGCAAAGCTCCTGGCGTGCTCCGCACATGTCTCGTCAAAGAGCTTGCGCTCGATGTCAATGTAGTGGCACCAGTACCTGCTCTTCAAGAAGGCAGCTTGGGTGAAGCAGGGCCGGAGGGATCTGACCAAGAAAGCCAGCGTGGTCATCAGCAGCACAAAGCACCAGCCCAGAGCCTGCAGGGACGAGGGGGCAACCGGACCTGTCACAGGCAACACAGCACATGCCTGGAACTTCCCACCACCAGCCTGGCTCCACCTCGGGCCATTGGACATTTGGCTGCATTCACATTGCAAACGCCAGATGAGGAGGCCCTACATCCCATGGAAGTGCCTCTGCACTGAAATTTTGTTCCATGCACCCACGTGGGCAGCACCTCTCCGCTGTGTGTGGCATCAGCAGGCAGTGACCGTAAGTAACACCAAATCAGGCACCCAACCCCCTGCCCTGCCTCTGATACGGCCGTGCCTCACTCGGGTCCAGGACAGTCCGACTCGCACCTAACGTCATGCCAGATACTCTCCGGGTTAATGCAGCTGTCTAACCCTTTTCCAGAGCTGTTGGACTTGGTAACATCGATCGTGGGTGAGTAGCGGTGACAGGCTGCCCTGCTAATGGGGTCTGACAGGAAGGGTGAGATGAGGGCAGAGACAGGACCGGTCTGTCTTGTTCGCTGTCATTCTCATGCTGCGCAGGCAGAGCTCACGAGGGTGAACCCCGCTGCATATGCAGCCACCTAAAAGAGCACCTGGGAGGGGAAGTATGTGGGTGACTCCTCCTGTTTTGCAGCTCCCAGTGCTTCCTGGCAGCTGGTAATTGGGGTCTACCCAGGAAAATCTGGTTTGTGTCTTTGGAGAAGTCCCCATGCCTCCATTTCTCTTAAATTTGGGATAATAATTCCCGCCTGCCCTAAGGTCAGGGAGAGCAGCTGCTTTTAAGCAGGAGTACGTGAGTGACCAGAGTGGGTCAGACCATCATGCCTCCAGCGTGGCCCTAAGCAGAGGGCTTGAGAGGAATTAAGCAGAGGACAAGCTGTTAGTGGCACTTCTGCATTTGTGGTTCCCTGGGATGGTTAATAAACACACGCTGGCTGCTTCCATGCAAGCAGCAGAGGCAAGTGGTGTACATGGTTACCAAGCTATCACTTGCACATGTTATAATAAGCAGCAAGAGCAATTGTGGGCAACTGGTGGGTTATGGGAGGGTACGACAGCCCACCAGCCAAGTAACATCCACATCAGCCCCTTCTGAACTTATTCTAAATAAATCTCTGTGTACAGCTTGGCCATATATTGCTGCCCTGCAGCCCCAGGCTGCCCAGCCAGGAGGGAGGACTGAATCATCAGGACCACCTACAGCTTCAGTCTTTGTATCCCACAGGAGGTATAACTCCCTGGAGCAGAGTCTGAACACCTTGTACCCCGGTGAAATCACCAGTGTTTCCTCCTGCAGCTTGATTTCAACAAGGAGATTCCCTCAAGGGAGGAGCTAGAGGTGGCAGTGCCTAACCCTAAACCACTAGCAAAGGCACAGCCATGATGCCTCTTACCTGTGAGATGCAATTCAGGTACCTGATGGCCACTTCATTGGCGATGAGCTCCTGCCCATTGTAGATCTCCTTGCAGGGGATGCGGGCAAGGACTTGCTTCATCTCCCTCTGGGAGAGGCCGGGGTGGCTGGCGTTGCCCAGAGCCCCCACTGGCACCGAGGTGCAGAAGGCGCAGGTGATGCACTTGCCGTCCAGCAGCGTCACCGAGACCCAGACTACCGGGGCGATCATGGCCCGCTGCGCCATGGAGCAGAACATGTAGCGCAGGACGGCCGGATCCTTCCCTCGCTGGCCCTGGGGTCGCCTCCACTCCTCCGCCAGCATGGAGATGTTGTTGTTCAGCACGAAGCCCAGGAGGAACAAGATGAGAGGGGGCACCAGGAGAATGCCCAGCCCGTAGGCCAGGTTGTAGTGCGGCAGGCACGGGCAGTTGAAATCAAAGGCTGAGTACATCTGGGCGCTGGCGAGGGCCATGATCCCACAGATGCCGTTCATGAAGGACTCCTGGTTGGACTGCAGGAACTGGAAGATCATCCGAAACTTGTCCATCTTCCTTTGATGTGATTCCTCTCCCCACTGGGGTCCAAGCTGTGACCTCAGTTTACTTCATTCTTTCAGCATCCCTCTTCAAAGATGGGCATCAACAAGTCTCTGTGCAGTGCACTGATTCATTCATGCACCCTTACGGCCCCAATAT